GTTCGTCACCAAGTGTAACTTGATATTGCGCTGGTATATCAAATACATATGACTTTGGTAATATTGGTGTCATTTTTCTTCGTGCACGATTTAAACCTGAATCTGAAATTAATTTAGTAATTCAGTACTTCAGAAAATTCTGACAAAGACGAATATAAAAACGTATACATACTTGCTTCATATGATGATGGAATAATAGCAGCGGCTGTTTGTGACATTGGTTGGCGAGCAAGTTCGTCATCATAAATTTTAGTTATTGCTGTTGTTTCATTTATAACTCTACGTTTTATATTTTGTTTAAATGTACGCACTTCAATTTCTTCAGGTGATTGTAAATGTGAATGATTACTATTTTTATAAATGCATCCTTAATATTTGTATGAACACCGGCATTGCAACTACGATCTTCACATTTCCAATATTTAACTGTAGCTGTTGTTTTACCAACATAATAAATGTAATTATCACGAATTAATAATGGTTTACCTTTATTACTTGTAATAAATGATAGTGTACTGGCCATAATAGTTTATATATCGTTTTATAAGAGTATGAAGTGAGTGTTAAAAATATGATACATCACAGTATTTATTAAACTTGATATCCATGCGTATACTCTTGTCATTTCTTTTATCAATTAGTCTAATAATTAGGGTTTATTATCTTAACTTCTATTCTTTATAACTGTTGTTTTTTGTTCTAGAGGAAAGCTATGATCAATTTAACTCTGTTATATTCTATTTTTTAAACTGTTCTTTTATGTTCTATGGGAAATTGTTTTATTGTACATGTAATTATTATGATTAAAAGTTGCGCCTCATGCTCTTTGATTATTTGTCAGGTCGGTCAATTTTCATTCGACCATTTTTACAACAACAACTCTACTAAGATTTTACCCTTGCCGCCTTCGAACTTTTCGACATTTTTACTTTCGGCATTTTTGGTTTTCGACATTTTACTTTTCGACATTACTCAGTACATTCGTATTTTTATTGCGTTTAAATTTAAAAATTATGAAAATCTCCAAAAGGTGTTAATTCTATCAATTTTTTAGGTCGAAGGTATAACTAAGTTACTCAGCGGCGGTTATCGGTTTGATGGACAAGAAATTGCATCATTCGATGATCAAGCTAAAGCTGAATTACGTCAAATTATCCGACAAGCTAAATCGAAAGATATTTCATCGTATTGTAGTGATGCAAGACTTCAAAAATATGCAGAAATGTGCACCTTAAGACACTATAATTATCTATTATTATCGTCTTAATTAAATCATTTTCTAAAAATTTGCGGTATCCATTGCGTATTCGATGAACAGACTCTCATACGTTGTATCTTTTTTATATTGGCCTCATCTCTGGAACGAGAGTTGCAGCTTAGACGAAACTTTGAGGAAATGAACATTTTGACTTCTACCACCTAGCTTTTTATCGAGAGCATTTTGCCTTCAGTGGTTTAAAAGTTAGCTTTGAACATATATGTTCTACTGAAGAAAACTGCTTCTAGTCACGAGAAATATTGCTAGAGGACGGCTATTCCGTTGCTTATCATATCTTAAATTTTATTTTTTTATTTTTCTTTCTTTTTCGAATTTTCTTTATGGCTCTGCATATTCCATCTTCTCTCCTTAAAATTACTCAATATTTACTTAAGCTACCTTGAAATTTGTTTTCAATATGTTATGAAATTAGAAGTGTCGCCATTGAAACTTATATATACGGGAAAATTTATCTTGATAAGCTATTTGTGTATAACTATTGTTGTTCATTTCGTTTTCTTTCAAAACAGAATAGTCGGGTGTTTAAATTAGAAACAGACAAAGTAATTGTAGTGGAAAGATGGCTAATGCTGCTGCTACTTTTACTCATAACGCATCATCTACTAAACGACAACAATCAGAAAGTGATGATGAATGTGTTGATTGTGGTGAGTGTGTCCATGAGCAGTGTATTTATTTACTGACTAAAACCACTTCCTTGTTATTATAGTTAAACGAGGAAAAGTTGTTGATGAAGAAAAACTGATGATATCAAAACTGTAAGTAGAATGGACTAATCATTGCTTCACACTTGATAGAAAGACGACAGCGGAGAGACTGCTGAAAGTTCTTCGGTTTAGAAATGAACAGCATTCCGCTGAAACGCTGTAATGATGCCGATCTCTCAGCCACATGTGATAGTGAGATAAAACTGTACTTTGGCACTTCTTGCTATGCAATGGCAAGTCGATTTAGCAGGGAGTGTCAAGCAACCTGTCTTATAATAAACTAGCAGAAGTACCCGGCGTTACCCAGAGAAATTCAATCTGAATATATACTTGCAAAATACCCATTGGGCTCGAGAGTACACATAGACAAATCTCATCAGTGGGAAGTCCGGCTGGGAAATCGACTGGTCGACAGTTTTGCAAGAAAAATGCTCTTTGATCGAAACAAAGTACAACGACACATCTAATTGATCTGGAAGATGACGTTCCAAACCTCTGCTGATTGATAGAATTATGACGATATATCCTTCTTTGTAGTGCTGGAATCACACTGGATTCTGATTGGTTGCAAAGTCAAGCATTCAGACATTTTTTGTGCGATAGAGCCTTTTTCCAACAACGTTGTGAGTCGATTTCTATGGGCTTGTGACTGACCTACAGACTTTTGAGCCTAACAAACTGCTCACTCCAAATCTCTGTTCAGGCGACCCCCGGGGAACCAGCTTTCCAAAACTCGGTTTGTATCTGACAGGGGCAATCCAGTAGGGTCACGGACAGTCCAGTATAATTTCGAGATCGATAAACTTCAGATTCCTAATGTCCCTCCTCGGATGATCCAGCCAGATTCCCTTGCCCAAAATCTCAATTTCTATTAGTTCCTATTCAGAAAGCTCGATTCCTTTTGGTTTCCCGTCAACTAATAGGATTTCAAGGCAAATGAACATCGGATTCGAACTCGCCGGCTCTGAAAACTCCTCGAGTGCTGTTTGACGCGAAAACCTAATCTTGATTAACTGGTTTCTTAGCAGCTTTAGTTCCTGTTGGCTCTCGGTTAACCAATAGTATTTCGACGCAGATGAACATCGGATTCAAAATCGTCTCCTCTAGAAACCCCCACAGCACTGTTTTTACGAAAACCCAAAAGGTTTCTTAACGGCCCAATTCTTATTGTGCTACAACCAGTGAATACGATTTCGGGGCGAACGGATCCAAGATTTAGATTCATCACCCTCGAGAACCTATGGTGACATGTCCTGTTTCATCACGGAGTGCCATTAAGTAGTTCTCGTATACCAACGAATGCTGCAATCTGATTGGTTGGATAGAGAGACAAAGATTTTCGTACGAAAGACAGCCTTGTTCCGAAAAAGGAACAGCCCTCGACCTTCCCCTTAACGAAAAGAAAGTTCATGCAAAGTTTGGTTGCACTGGCTCCTACAGGGACCAAATGCATAAACAACAGACAAACAAACAAACATTCTTCTTTATATATTAGATACAGTTTAAACCAACTGTACTCTTATTTTTATTCACTTATATAGTAACAATCTGGCTCCCGAATTATACGAATACATTTTTCTACATCTACATACTGATGCAATTGTTAAATTATTCTTTGATGTAAATACGAAATATCGTCAATTAGTTCATGCATATTTTCATCAGTACAGAAAGATGGATCTGACAGAATTAACAGCAGAATGGTTGCAGGAACATCTACGGCCGTTGCAATCCTCAATAATAATGATGAAAGTAGATGATGAACAGTTACCAATCGTATTTCCATCTACAATACCAGCTGATATTGCCAATGCATTTCCATCACTCCATTCACTTAGAAAACGTTGGAAAAGGTCATCTTGTCAAATATCTCACTTCCGATAACACCTAACTTTGAAGTGTTACTCCCTCCTCTTTAACTCCACTCCCTTTATAAATAAGTTCTTACAATAACAAGCATGCCAGATGCAAGAGATGCTCTGTGTTTACAATATTTCAATTGCTTTCGGACATTGACTAATCTATGTGTAAGTGATAATTGGTGCAACAACTATGATCCTTGTTATCATGATACATCATCACTCAGTAAATTTTCATTGTCAATCTGTCAACTTTTATTTCAACAACCGAACACTTGTGCAATACAGGCACTGTCCTTGCCGCAATGTTATTATCTAATGAATTTACATGAATGTATCCGTTACTATATAACGAATACAAATGATTACATTCAATATTGTCGTATAAATCCGAACATTCATCTACGCAAATTAACTGTATCGATCTTCAGTTTAAATGATCTCTTTCAATTGTTGCAATCCCTAACAGTTTTAGAATATTTAAATGTTCAGACAGATGACTTGTTTGTTGATGGGGATGATGATAATGATCCTTATCAAGTAAATCACAGTAAGAATCTGAGGAACTTATGTCCGAAACTAACTGAACTACACTACAAATGTGAAAATGAAATTCTTCTCGATGGTATACAATCACTTTTGGAGCCGATAGCTCAAACAGTAGAGATTTTATCACTTCAATTGGCATGTGAAAATCCTGTTACTGGTCAACTACTCGAAAAGACTGTGGTTAAAATAGTACCGAAGCTAAAACAACTTCATTTCAATATTCGTTGCCCAACTGAACAAGACGAATCTGATAACGAGTATGATGAAACTGAAAAGATCACTGCGCTTTGTTCAACATTTCAATCATCATACTGGCAGAAAAGACGGATTTTATGCTATCATGAACTTGATGATACATGCGTTCTCCTTTCGTTACCGTGTATTTGGAAGAGTTTGGTAATTTATAGCAATGAAATTATGAACTATCGTTTAAACCATTGTGAGATAGATGAGGAGGAAATCCTACAAATAACAAAAGTTCAACATATCACGTTCGATCAATCAGACTGGTGAGTATAGGATAAAAAATTGCGGAATATACTTCAAAATTGCTGGAAAGCCGATGGAGGAGGACAGTAGGCAATACAGTAAACGTACACCTCCTTCTAAAGGCCTGTTATCTAAACCTGTTTAGCCAGTGATGGCGCGAAGAGGTCTGAATGATGGGAAGAGATAAATCGTAAAATCGGACTAAATCCTCAAAAATTTTTCGCTGTCTTCAGCGGCGATGATTTGCTGACTCATCCATCCCGCTAATCACTTAACACCGTCATTTTTTGCACAGGTTCTATAGTAATATCAAGCAGATGTGCGATCCGACCTCATTTTTAACTTAATTTCGACTTATTTATACTGGTGCTGTGATGAGTGAGGAACGAAAACAAGCCCTTCGCTCAGCTCACCCGAATCTAAAGAGAGCTAGAAAACATATCTAGCCGAAAGCGGCCGAAGGCTGGGGAAAACTTCGCAAACAGCTGCGAGACTTACGAAAATTTGCTATCGTTTCGACTACTCTTATTTCTCTTTCGATCAACCCAGACTGAGTGCTTCAAAGCAAAGTTCTCTACAAACTTCGTTTTCTTCAAAACGAAAAATCGGAGTATTTTATAAAACAGATTCTTCTGTGTAA